CTCCATTCTCCTCGGGATCTTGGGCATGCACGCACACGCACCCAGCGTGAGTTTAAGTCCGGGACTCGAACCACGGTCAACTATATGGGAGTTCAGTGACATAGCCATTACACTAACTGCTGGTCCTGTACCTGGTATATTTTTCAAGCTGCCAGATCCAGGACTTGAACTACAAAGTCTGTCATATAATATCCAACATCTTTACCACCACATCATTTGCTGGCACATGCATCTTTTTTAAGGCACTAAATAACAAGATCTAGCAGCAAGTCTAATAACTACCATAATTTTGAAGACATGGTGAATATTAAATATTTTTAAAGAAATCCGCAGCAGCTTGAATATGAAACGAAAATATCTGTACTTTTTTCCAATGACAGAGTCATGGGTATAATTGATACTATAGTGTTTATGGTCTATATTCATGGTTGAAGGAAATGATAAATTTTTTAAAATTATTTTAATCCTGTTATTTTTTCTCTTTTTTTACTTACATTTATCTATTTACATTCACTCACTATACATCATTACAGCATACAAAATGAGATTTCCCATCCAGAATACACTGTATATTGGCTCAATCAGGCACATCAACATACATGTTATCAACAAATAATTTTCCATTTCTTATTTCCTATATATTTTGCTTTTTTTGCCATCCTTGATTCCCTCTTCCTCACTCTCTGCCACCCACCCTCCTCCCACATTGTCTCTGGTATCCATGGTTGCTTTCTATGCCTTTTCCCCCCATTGAATTGATTTGCTAATGAACTTAATTAGTCTAAATATTTCCAATAGCAAGCGCAGCTGATATATACATATACATGAACACAAGTCTGACTTTAGGCATAAACCTCAGTGAGTAGAATGAACATATAAAGTAGCACCTAGCTGGGGCTATATAGCTTACTGCAGTCATCAAATACGCATTTTTTAAAAAATTTCGATAAAAACAGTTTTCATGTTTTTTTTCCTCCTGAAACTTTTTTTTTTAATTAATTAATTTACATTCATCCCCTAAGCATGATCACAACATACCAAATGTGGTTTGCTATCTAGAATAAACTGCATAGTGGCTTAATCATGCATGTTATCATCAATAATTTTCTATTTCTAGTTTAATATATACATATATATATATATATATAATTTTTTTTTACCCCATGTCTGACCCTCTGCCCTTTCCCACCCTCTTCTCACACTATCTCTGCTGTCTACAGTTGTCTTC